ACCCACCCAGACTACATCTACACCACTAAATAAAAAAGGGCCAGGAAATCAGCTTACACAGGACACCCTTGGTCATCCATGTTGCTTAGTTGTTGGCTCCCTTCCCGGCCCTGTTTTGGACAACTCGAGCTACTGCTTTGCCAGGGAAAACCTGAGTGTGACTCGGGGAGGAGTTTGCTTTACACGCCGTTAGCAAGAGGCGGTGCGGGGGGAGCTGCACCAGTTGGATCCTCCTGCCCTCCCGAGCGCCCATCCCGTTCCCAGTAAGCGCTTCGCTCCCCAGAACTCCATCGGCCCGTGCGGCCTGGCAGAGCCGCAGCCAGGCCCGGCACGAGCCGTTGGCGCTGCCGGACGTGCAGCTGCTCTGGCAGTGAGTGGGGACTTGGGCTCTTTGGCCTCCGAGTTGCCTGGGCAGGTGGGAAGGGAGAATAATCCCAAGGGAAGCATTGTCTCTTCCTAGTAAGTGCCTTCTCATTAAGGACAGAGACCATGCTCCCCAGAAAATATAGGTTGGTCCCAACCTTTAGAAAAACCAATTAGATAATTAGAATACTGTGGCCAGCTCGGGGGCCCCCAACAGCAGAAGGACCCGGAGCTGCTCGAGCGGGGCCAGAGGAGGCCACGGAGATGCTGGGGGGGTTGGAGCAGCTCCCCTGGGGGGCCGGGCTGAGAGAGTTGGGGGGGTTCAGCCTGGAGAAGAGAAGGCTCCGGGGGGACCTTCGAGCGGCCTCCCAGGGCTTAAAGGGGGGGCAGGAGAGGTGGGGGGGGACTCTGGGTCAGGGGGTGTGGGGGTAGGATGAGGGGTCACAGTTTTAAACTGAAAGAGGGCAGATTTAGATGAGATGTAAGGGATAAATTCTGTACTGTGAGGACGGTGAGGCACTGGAGCCCCTTGCCCAGAGCAGCTGTGGCTGCCCCCTCCCTGGAAGGGGTCAAGGCCAGGTTGGACGGGGCTGGGAGCCCCCTGGGCTGGGGGAAGGGGGCCCTGCCCGGGGCAGGGGGGGTGGCACTGGGGGGGCTTTAAGGTCCCTGCCAACCCAAACCATTCTGTGATTCTATGATATGACGATGATTATTTCAGACTGAAACACTATCTTGAATTCATACAGTTCAGTTATCTTTTTTGCAATAACTTGGAAGAATCTGTGGGGAAACTTCCTTGCAGGACAGTCATGCTGCTTTATGAAGGAAGTGGTAGAGATTCCCAGGCTTTGTGCTGAGTAAACAAACTTCAGAAATGACACACTAGAGAGTGTTTGTGCAGAGGCAGCACTAACCCTCCACCTAGTGCTTTCAGTGCACGGGCTTGTCTATCTGTGTAGCACTGCTCCATGTTGTATGCAGGAGATCTTTGTCATGTCACACTGACAAACTCATTTTCTTGCTTTCCTGTTTCCATCGGCTCCATTTAATTTGGGAAAGTCTGGTCAGCCTGATACATGCATAAATTGAATATTTAAAAACCTACAGAGGTGATATACAATACTCATGGTACTATTAGATGTTGACAGTTTCACATTGTTTCATATGAGCTGTATCCTGCCCCATACCAGAATCCTTGCACTTGTGGTGATTCACAAACGGGATGCATTTACCCTTCCAGAACCATTTGCAAATTCAGCAGGAAACAAGAGAATCGCTTCATTTGCTGCATTAAAAACTTCTACAGGAAGGCCGCCATGTCAACAAATAGCAGTTCACAGCACAATATTTGGAAACATATGAACTAATTTTTCCTAGACAGGAGTCTCTTTTTTCCTTTGAAGCTTTGAAGTGATTCAGTTCACTTTTCCCAAAGAGAAAATGAAATAAATAAAGTCTGACATGATAATCCTTCCATATCCACAGAATTCCCTGAGGTAGCTTTGAGATTATTACATTTCATGCAAATGAAAACAGTTTTCACAAGTTTCAATGGCAGGTCACATTTTCATCAGTTCATAATCAGTAAAGTATATGCATAGGTGTTTGCAGAGGTATATATTGTTTCTCAGTTTTGAATCCATGAAATATAAGTATTAGTTTTTATTCATACATGTATTATGATTTTCAGTGCAACTTTAAAATATTGTCTCTTGAAAGATTGACATGGATTTTTAAAGAACCCTAAAAACATTCTGAATGCATTCCATTTTTTTTATTCTTATAATTGGTGAAGATTTTATTTGTAACTCATTATTCTACATACTTTGAGTGCTTCTAGTAGTGTTTTTGACTCTGCAGTGAGATCCTATTATGCCAACGTAGAGACCTTTTTCTTTCAGTAGGCCTCCAGTGAGAAGCAGCATCATCAGGCCTCATTGCAAGGCAGGGCCTCTGTGTTTAATGGTTGTACAGAATGTTTTTGTGGGCGAATCAAATGGATGTTGAGTGTTTGCACAGTAATTGGAATATTTTCAATTCAGTTGAGATATTTTTGAAATAATTTCAAAGAGTAAGCAGGGTCATAGGCTACAAAAAGTCAAATGCATTATTGGAAAATGTTACTTTTTTTGTGCTGTTTCAGGTGGATTGTTTTTCTTAATGTCTCCTTTAGTGGATATTGCTTTATGTAAGACCTAACCTTAGCATGGTGGACAGGCAGCTGAAGTTACACACAGAGTAGTGGATGCTTTTCCTTTCATCCACAGACAGTAGTTCCTTCCATGAGTATAAGAACAACCTGAAAGGATATTGTGTAGAGTGAGGGAAGAAAGTACATTACAGATGGAGTTAAATAATGGCCAGATATGGTAGGAATATAAATTGAAGTTAGATAATGAGGGACAGTAGGCTCTATTTTTTTAGTCATCCTGGTATTCCTAAAAAGATTTTATTTCCAGTATGCTTTAGTTAAATAAATACAAGTTTGTTCTATAAAGCTGAAAACATTGGTGTGTATAGAGAATGAATGAAACCTAATTGGGCTTTATAATAAGAAAAAACTTTGCATACAAGCATGTCTGGATACATGTTTAATATTTGATGCCTGCCAAAACTGTCTAACCTGTCTAGAATGAGATAGCATACAATTTTGTGATTTTTAGCCACGTATTTTTGTCATCTTAGCATTAATACTTGTAATTAAATCTTATATATTGTTCTACCCTGTTACCTATTCAGTAAACATGCACATTTTTAGAGAAAAAAAGATTAACAGAGTTAAAAAAAGATTTTTTTTCAGCTTTTTCCAGTTTGTTTCCTGTATAAATATGTAACAGCATTACATGTTATAGCTAAAGAATGAGAGCTGGTGAGCAACTAAGAATTACTTCTACAAATCTATAAACTCTAATAATGAAATTGAAAGGTTTTCAAAGCCTTTGAAGCAAAATTCCTATCGTAACGGAAGTTTGAGATGTGGAATGAAGATATGAGGTTCTAATAGGGCAAATATTACTAATAGCTTATCTCTGTATATTGTCAATCCAGTTTTACCTTTATTGCGATCACAAGCCCTATCAAACTACTTTATTTTGCCTTTTTTTTTTTTTTTAAAAAAAAAAAAAAAAGACACAAATGCACTGGCACTATGTAACTTATGAGAGCTCAGGATACCAGCAAGTTCCCCTCAAAAGCGTTTGGTTACTATCTCCCAGCCAAACGGCTGTGCAGTTCTGGCTGTGGGGGGAATGGTGTGTGTTCCAGACTAATCTCAAGGAAGTGGTTGATGGAACAATCAGCGAACGTTACAGGAGGGAGTGAGAGCTCCGTCACGTCTGCTCAGCCTCAAATGTCGCAGGCGGCTGATGGCCGCTGCTGCCAAAAAACCTGCCCTGGGGACCCTCCGTACAGCAGGAGGAGAGGGGAGCAGCACACGAGGCCGCATAAGTTGGGAGGTGGGATGTTTTTTGAGAAGAATTGGAAGGCAGGGTTTAGGCTGCTGTGTGGAAATGCCAGCACGCTTGCCTTTCTAGTTCCCCTCACAAGTTTTGACGGGTTTGACATGTTCCTGCAAAATGCTTAGATTCAATTACAGCAGCTTTTTTTCAATGCAGTAGTGCTGTCAAGAAATGTTCACCTATTAAATTTCTTTGGAGTGTTTCCTCACAATAGATGTTTTTAAAACAGTTTTGTTTGTTTATTTGTTTTCCCATTTTAGAATAACATTTGGGAATGAAAACAAAAATTTTGCTTTTTTTCTCAGGGGTAGCAGTGTTCTGTAATTGTTCCTTACACAAGGGGGGCTCTTCTCCACAAATCTGTGTATCAAATTTGTCTTCCCTTTAGGAACTCATCAGGTTGCCAATTTCTCTTAAGGTCATGGACTCTCCTCAGTTTCAGTAATCCTCATGGGAAATGGACTACATGTTTATTGTCTTTGGTATCCACTGTTCCCCCTTTTTTTTTTCTTTTAAGAAATTTTGCCATCTGTTGTTTTCTAGACTTTTTTTCAGTATATTCTCTAATTTCTCCTGCATCATCATCAGTTTCTTTGATCAGTTTTTAATAATTCTTTTAAAGAAAAAAGAAAACAACCACCTGTAATAACTATCACAGCTTTTATGAGAGATGGGGCTGAAATGCGGTTATCTTACCATCAGATGTTCTTGTGTTGAGGTCACTTCTGTTTCATTACAGCCTCTGAGCACATTCTTAGCCACGCTCAGTTACCCCCCGTTATTCTGCTGATCTGGGGTAAATGGCATGGTGGCAAAGTAGAAAGAGCGAGCACAAGAGAGAGAGCAATTACATTGTAAGAATACACCATGCCCATATGCGGGGAATTAAAGCCCGGTGACGCTTTTGAGGGTAGAATACAGTGAGGTGGGCCAGGGCTGCCCAGCACAGGCACGTGCATTGGACACCCAGGGCAGAGCCTGTTTAGCCACGTTCATTTAGCTCATAATCCTGGCTGGACATGAGCTGGCCTCCTCAGATGTCATGGGGCCAATTCCCTGCAAGGATAATAAAAGGGGTGATTTTCTCAATCTAATGTTCGAAGATAAATCCTTCCATGTCAGTATGAGTGCATCTATCAGGAGAAGGCAATAAACACCCTTTTCTTCTGTTATTTTCAGAGCCAAATTTTGTGTCGTCTTATGACATTGGAAACTTTACCTACTTCTTCTTCCGGGAGAATGCGGTGGAACACGACTGTGGGAAAACAGTCTTCTCTCGTGCTGCTCGGGTGTGCAAAAATGATATTGGTGGCAAGTTTGTGCTGGAGGACACCTGGACTACCTTCATGAAAGCTCGGCTGAACTGCTCTCGCCCTGGAGAAATTCCATTTTACTATAATGAACTGCAGAGCACTTTCTTCCTGCCAGAATTGGACTTGATCTATGGGATTTTTACCACTAACGTGTAAGTAAATTCCATAATATATTTAATTTTTTTGCTATTTGTGATAGTAAAAACTAAAGATTCTGAGCTGCTCTCTTCTGCATGTGCCAAGTAAACATCATAATTTCAAACTACTGTTTTGCCCAATCCACTGTCCTCTTGTGAACAAGTGTCAGTTCCAAATGCTTCCCACATGAATTGTTGAAGGTGTATGAAAGAAGAATTCTCAGTATGACCTTACAGCAGGGAGCCGGTTGTGTTTAAGACTATTCAGTCATAGTTTCCATACATTCTTATAAAGACATTATTTTTTTATTTTGCACACCATTGTAATACATTAATGCATTATGTATTTATTAAATATTTCATAATTGTAATGTGACACGATAATGAATTTGAGGTGGTGTAATTTGACCATGTCAGGAAGAGCTCACCTTACCCAAAAAGCACAAGGGGCTCTCTTCTGTAGTTTAAATTAATCCTAACGTATACTCATCTGAGTTTGAGGGTCAAATCAAGAATTTGATCTGATTTTAACTGAACCTGTTATATCAACAAAGTAAAATTTAAAAACGTACAGATTTATTTTAACCAAAAAAAAAAAAAAAAAAAAGGAAGTTCTGGGTTTCTCCCACACCAGCTACTTAGCAAGGCTGACAAAAGTTTTCAATCCAATGTCTGTGCCTAAACCAGCACATCACGTATCAGTATCTTGAGATACCATCTTCTGGCTGATCACATCTGCTTTGTTAATTACTTGAAGGATTGGAGAGTTATTGCCCTTTTCATTTATTTTTCAGCAAATGGACTTCTTAATGATGTTACTTAGGTTATTGTCTGTATTTCTTTTGCAGGAACAGCATAGCAGCCTCAGCAGTTTGCGTTTTCAACCTGAGTGCCATAACTCAGGCCTTTAATGGACCCTTCAAATACCAGGAAAACTCTCGTTCTGCTTGGCTTCCATATCCCAATCCTAACCCTAATTTTCAGGTACGGATACATGGGAGAAATACAATAGTTAACATGAGGTTTTTTCCAAAGTGCTGTATGGTTCATAGTTAATAAGTCCAGTTTTGTAGTATGTTATAACCTAAGACCTCAAAAAAATCATACACACCCCCAACCACCCACCCCCAACTCAAAAAAAAGGCTTAAGAGGTTCCCTTATTTCAACATAGTTAATTTTATCCTTCCACAAAATAATTTGGGTTGAAAAGCAGATATGCTTTGAAGGGTAGGACAAAAAAGGAATCTACAATCTTCTGTCAAAATTAAACACTACAGTTATCTGTCCAGTTAACACTAATTCCTAGCTGAAGGATGATCAAATTGCTATTCTCTTTTACGTTGTATTTGTAATATTAGAACATGAAAAGGGAACATTGTCTGACAGAAAAAAGAAAGGGGGGGGGGGGGGGGGGGGGGCTATAAATGAGGCTTGGTCAGGATTTTGTATGTTTTCCTGTGCAAGGTGGTCCATACTTCCTGAAGATTCTGATTAAAAGAATTTGTGATGTGGTGTGCCCCTCACTTGAACTTGTCAGCCTCAGAAAGTATAATAAACTGCAGTTGGCTGACAGCATAAAACTAATCTGTCCAAGGTGGGTCATTTGGTGGAACTTTCTACAAAAAGAAAAGGGTATTTCAGGTAAGCACATATACATTGTTTTCTGCTGATTAGTCACCACTGCTACTAGGACAATTTTAGTGAGATTCTGGCAAGGGAAATGGAAAGGAAAACAGTATTAATTTAGTGATTAACAAGAACAGCTTTTCACCAAGATACTTAGGCGTGTTCACCTTTATCCACCTTTCACCTTCCCTTAATCTCAATGCAATTTTATGAGTTCAGTGCTGCTCCTGTCTTCTTGTAAGAGTCATGAGATCTTTGCAAGCATGAAACAGAACCTCCCATTGCGGGGATTGTAGGTAGTCCAAGTTACTTCTTGATTTATGCAAATGAAGGAAAATAAGGCACAGAATTTTCTTAGAGTTAAAGGCCAGAGCCTCAGTACCTTTCCTAAATACTTTGTTTGGCATTAGCCCCAAGTGCCAAGATGCATTTGCGTAAGCCATATTGCAAAAGAGAGCTATATTTGTGTACAGCTTTTTACATATTGTAGAAATATTTATATTGTCAAAATAGTGATGGTAAGAAGGTATAAATGATGCTAATTTTTTGAAAAAGAAAGCCTGAAGAAAGGCTTGAATGTAAAAATCTTGTCTTCTTTCTGAGTAGGTGAGCAAGTCCAATAAAAGTTATTAACCTCTCCCTACAAACCTTGTCTTAATGTGTTGATAATTATCATGAGAGCAGTCCATACAGAATGGTACACACAAACAAAGATGACAGTCTGATGGATGTGTAAAAACTGTGTAAGTCTCTACTGTACTGTCGGTGCTTATCTCTAAATTCTAGTCAAGACTGAGGTGTTAAAGAAATTTCTTGCTTGGATCATCTGATTGATTTTAATATGGCTGGTACTTAATTCAATTTACAAGCACAGTGGTAACAGTTGTATCATATCTCTTTGAGCAACAGCTTTGCAGGTCTGTGCTAGTCTTAAAAGCTGTAACATAGCCTTTTACAACACAGTATTGAAGCCAATTAACATTAACTGATCTCTAGGTATCATTAACAATGTCGAACTTCTGGTTCTTTGCAGGTGCTATCTTTTGTTCTGTTGACTTTTTGGTTAGCTTTCTGGCTCCATGACTGCAGCAGTGATGTATACCAGGAACTAGTCTAATGTTTGGATCTAGGTGTAATCATTTTTTATGACCTGATGGAGCTTTAGAGTACACGCTTCATATAGATGGGATATATTCATTGTCTGAGTGACTGGTTTCCTTCCCAGAAAGAAGTTTTCTTTTGTAGAGTCCTTATGATAAAATATCAGAAGTTCTGTTTGTGTAGTCTCAAAAGTACGTTTATCCTCAGAGTATTCACCTACTCAGCAATAACAGACAGAAGTATGTGAGATGAAGGAGGGCTGCTGCTTTGTAGTGATAGTTACATCAGACATTGTATTTCCAAGACTCGATTATATTAATTAAATATTTTCCAGATTAGGATACTACTGGAGTCTCAGTTTTGAGGAACACTGGTTTTCTCCAGAGATTGTTGCTTCTGTCTTTACACAGGACAATTTCCATCATCAGACCAAGGACCATATGTATTTCAGTGTACCCGGAGCATTCCAGCTGGCATCTTTCCTGCTTGATAGATTCAGAGAAATTCTTCTTTGGCATGGTTTAGTTTTTTCACTAGCATGACATGCAGGTGCTCACAGAGCAAGTAATTGTTTCCTGCCAGTTGCTTAACTATCTTTCCTCATCATATGATCTCTCATTATGAAACTATTTGTTTGAGGCTTTCTTAACATTTGTGGATTTGGAATGATCACTTAATTTCAAACTGAAAACATGGCAATAGCAAAAAAAAAGTAACTAGTAGGGTTTTGCGCACTGTATTATTTTGTTCATGCTGTAATTCATAGTATAATTTATGACATAATAGAATAGAACAAAAAAGTATGACTTAAGTATGCCTTTCACATCACCAACATATTTGACAAATGTTGTGAAGTACTGCTTTACTTTTCTGATGAAATTATATATGAGTAAACTTGTGGATGTTTACATATTCACAAGAGCTAAGCAGCTTGCTCTTTTGTGTCCTCAGTTAGTTGAAGACTTAAACACAAAGATGCTAAAATTAACTGCCACTTATTTTGCTTTGTTTATTTGTAGTTGAAATTTGTGCTGTGCATGCAATTAGTGAAAGCTTTCCTGTAAGGAAAAAGTACAGTTTTCAAATATAAAGTACAATCGATTCCAAAGCAAAAATGTCTTTGCCGTGAATAACACTTTATAGTTAGAGCTTCGCACTATCCATTCTCGGCTAGTAAACGCAGGGTCGGAAATAGCCACTGGAACTGTGTGTAATGCTTTCACCTGGGGTTCCTGTCAGACCTGGGCTGGGGTAGGACATGGGATTTCCTTTGAAAATTTGTTGTCTTTATCACTGTGTGTAAATTATAGAGAAAATTAGCGAGAAAACTCTGTGGTTTGTTGGATGGTAATCCTTCTCCTTCCTGCCCTGTGAACATAGGATATAGCAGAACAGGAGTGTGGCCCACTCGTGGTGGTCAGTCTGGTACCCTTCCATACTGCTGAGCGTTAGGGAGCCTCCGTAGTACTGCCTCAGGAAAGCAGAGCTCCTTCGGTCACTGAGTAGGCAGTCTGGTCAGCACCAAGAGGACACCTGAAAGTGGAAGGAATTCCACAGTGTACCTACAAGATATACTCGTGTTCTTTTTTTTTTTTTTTTTTTTTTTTTTTTGTGCTGTAAATCAGAGAGTAGACCTATTGCTATCGTTGATGCATATAGTAATGTTATTTTTCTGTGTTTACAGTGTGGCACCATGGACCAGGGTTTGTATGTGAATCTGACTGAGAGAAACCTTCAGGATGCTCAAAAATTCTTCTTAATGCATGAGGTTGTTCAACCAGTTATTCCCATTCCTTACTTCATGGAAGACAACAGCCGATTTTCCCATGTGGTTGTGGATGTCGTGCAGGGCAAGGACATGCTTTTCCATATCATCTATCTTGCCACAGGTATGAGCTCTGCATTGCTGTGATAACTGCAAAAGTTTATGAGGTCTGTGAGTTCTAATGTTCTGCAACTCAGTTAGGAAATATATATACTGCACCTTGAACAACAGCTTTTCCCCTTTGACAGCATTAACTCTACCTTCTGCCTTTTCTGAGTAGATGAATTCAGCAGTTTGCAGTGTCTCTGTTTATATTATATTGTGAACTCAAATTTTAGTGTCTGTTTCCTATTCTCCTTTGAAGGTAGGAAGCCTACATGCTCTTAAGGGAGCGAACAGTTGGAAATTCTACAAAGAGGACTTCATAAGTTTCTCTGTCTTTTATTCTTTTTATGTAGTTCAGGGTACAGTGTGGCCCAGGATAAGATGGTTTAGGATCCTCTGAGGTAGAAGTAACTTTACAGACAGTAAATACAATTACTTCTGTTGCTGTTTCTAACTTTTTTTTGCTCACAAATATTTTACCTTTCCTTTCAATCTAAGTCATTCATTAGGCAGTTTTTTACACCCTGCCTTATCATTTTCCCATTTATGTGTGAGTTTATCAATGAAAGAAAAATAATCCTCCACCTCAAATTGCCTTGGTTAGAAATACTCCTTTGTTGGCTCAAAATTGCAAGCCTCTTAAAAATAGAGAGGGTGTGAGAGAACAGTTTCTGCAGAACAAGGATGTCCCAAGCTGAGACTGAAGTGCAAGGTCAGAATAACGGAATAACGTGTTTAGAGCTTCATGGTGTAAAACTTAGGGTAGTCCTACGCACATCATTAGGGGATAGCTCATCAAAGCAATGGTTTCTTAATGTGCATCGTTTGTCTCACATTGAGTAGGCACCAAACGTGATAAATTTAGGGAAAGAATCTGTTGACCAACAAGAGGAAAAGAAACCCTAATCGTGTTATTTGATCTTGCAATCAATGAAATAAATTTCAAAATTGTAATTGATACAGTAGAAACTGGATCGATCCTTTTAATTAGTAAAATTATGATTTACTAATGAAAATGGTATACTCAATAACTTATCATTTATAAAGAGCCCAAGAAAAATACGTATCGTGATTCGATATATAATTTAATTTTCCCTTGAAATAATGATACCATTTTTTCAGAGAAGATTGTTTCTTTTGAGTCTAAAGAAAATTTATAGTAATTTGACGCATTCAGGTGAGACTATTTCTTTGCATATTATCCTAGTAGCTTTCTCATTGTGCTCCTTGAAAGATAGTCAGTAATATAAAAGCTTTTAATAGGTCAAAACAGTGCTTGGATTTGACCAATTCGCATCAAAACAGTCCACTGTTCAGTAAATCAACATTTTAAGTGAAATCATGCCAATACTAAATGGTGTTTGTATTGTAGAAGTCTCCTGACAGAAACTGAATTACAGAAACATGTCCTGAATTGGTTTTATATGAAGTAACTATCACTGCATTGTGGGATACTTACATTATAATGGCAGCACCAAGAATGATGTCATTTGTCATAATTCTGATTGTATTCAGTTTTTAGGTTTCCTTACTGTGTTAACATTTTATATTTGATTCAGTAAGTGAGGATCTAAAACTTTCATTCTTCTCTGTACCTCTGGTTTTGGTCGTTCATGGAAGTAGGATTCTACCTTAGCTGGATCTTTAGTCAGACTCCAGCACATGCTTTCATGTATTTGGACAGTGTATGTTTTTATAAGTGTGAGATACCCTATGATTAAAAAAAACCAGGTAACATTATTGTGTTCTTTAAGTTTTCTTGAAATAGCCAATTCTATTTCACTGAATCACAGTGGATTTTGTGGATTCTGCCATTCCTTATCCTCCCCCCACCCCAGTTGACTGTAGATAATAAATTTTATTTTCCAAGAAATATTAATATTCACTTTTCAGAAAAAAATACCTTTTGGTAGATTTTGAAATTACCATTTGTTTATATTCAAATACCATATATACAATACGTAAGGGTAGTTTAAAAATCCCACAATATACCAAATTACATAGTGTCATTTACTTAACATCTTACGACTTGAGAAGAAAGGCAGTATTTTACCTTCTTTGGGGTGCAAGTTATAATTTTAATTTCATGATATTGGTAATGATGCAGAATCTTAGTTCTTCATAGTCCTCTATTTGCTTGCGTAGAAGCTATGGAGCAGTTAGCATTGAGGCTTGCATCCTCAACTGCATGTGATAAAATTTTACTGAGAAAACACCACTGCTTCTGTAAACAACAGAAACTAAAAGGCAGTGGCCTTAACTTTGAAAATAAACAATAACTTTGGAAGCAGACCAAGTTTTGTAGTACTGAATTCCTCCAGTGTTCAGCCTTACTCCTGCATACAGCGTCATCTACCCCAAGCTCCTAACACCATAAAGCATGTGTATGTTTGGGAGAGGTGGAAGAGTGGGGTTGCAGTTGCTACCAGACTGAGAGAGGTTATCATTATCGTATCTTTTCTGATTCAATTTACTTGCATTATTGAAAGTGGTAGCAAATTAAATTTGGAGATAAATTTTTGCCACAATGCTCCATCTTCAAAAAAAAACCCCAATGAAACGATCTGGGGAACAACAGGCTGGCCTGCCTTCAGTCCCTGGGAAAATCAAGGAGCACACATTATTGGAGCATGCTTCTGTGGGCAAGTAATGGAGAAGGTGATTGGGAACATTCAGCATGGATGTCCCAAGGGTAAATCACACCTGACCAACCTGATTACTTTCTATGGTGAAACAACTAGATTTGTGCATGAGGAGAGAGAACTTTAGCAAGACTTTTAATACTGTCTCTCACAATATTAATATATTCAAATTAAGATGTATGGTCTGTATGGATGGTCAGCTGGATGTATAAAACCCAGTTGGATGTCAGGCTCAGAGGGTAGTTGTTAATGGGATGTATACAAGTGGTAAGGAGCTGAGTAATATCCTGTTTAACATTTTAATCGATGACCTAGAGGAGGCAACAAGTGTGTAGTCCAGCCGGTGCAGAGCTGACACCAGGCTGGGGTACCAGCAGTTACACTGGAGGATAGCGCTGCCGTCCAGAGTACTTGGGACATGCTGGAGGGATGGGCTAGCAAGAACCTCATGAAATTCAACAGGTGCAGATAGGAAGTCCCAAATTTGGGAAAGACTCACTCAGTGCAGTGATTGAGGTTGGGCACTGGCTGTCTAGGAAACAGCTCTGCTGAAGGGGACTTTGGTAGATCATGCCCTTGATGCAAAGAAGGGCGACAGTGTCTTGGGCTGTATTAGCAGGAACGCAGCCAGTAGAGCAAGGTACAAGCTTATCCCCATACACTCAACACACTTTAGACCACATACAGTTTTAGCCTCCCCCCAGTACAAGAAGGACATTGATAAACTGGAGCAAATTCAGTGGAGGGCCACCTTCTGTTGGAGACCGGGGCACCATGTCCTAGGAGGAGAAGCGGAGGGAGCTGGCACCATTCATCCTAGAGGAGAGAAGGCTTCACAGGGGCCCTAGCAACAGCCTGCAAATACCTACAGGGAGTTCACATGGCAAACGGAGCCAGAGTCTTCACAGTGATGCGTGCTGGGAAGACAAAAGACAATGGACAGAGAGTTTCAGCCTAGATATAAAGGAAAACTTTTTCACTCCGAGGACAGTCAAGCAGTGGATCAGATTTCCCAGACAGGTTGTGCAGTTCCCATCATCAGAGTTTATTTAAAGACCAGACAGCAACCCAGTCTGTCCTTTGAGTGCAAGGTTGGACTTAAAACCTCCCGATGTCCCTTCCAACCTAAATTATCCTGTGTCTTTCATATGCCGGTACAATGTGCAAACTGGCTGGGCTAAATTACATTTTTACTCAACCCTGCGATAATAGATGTCATTGTACTTTCTCCTGCCAAAAGGAAAGTGCATTCAACTCTAACATAAGGACAGGCAGTAAGCAATTTGCATCTAGTGGTGTAAAGCAGGATGGATCCAACCCATGCTGTGTGACATGTACTCTGCATAACTTTTGTAGTTATAATTCATTACAACATTCTTACAAAAATTGTCTTTTGAAATGCACAAAGCTGATTCAGTGGACAGGTGGCCATATAGATTGGGTTGAATACAAATTAAAGCTCTGCTGTCTTTGTTACTCAAAGCAAAAAATCCCATTCTTTGAAGCAGATGGGCAGTAGTTAAGAGAAAATTCTCTCTTCCTCCCCTCACATTCATTTACCTATCCACCCTGTTATTAGAATACAAATATTACCGAGGAGAATAATCCTGACAGTATAGAGGTGTAATCTGATTTCGTTAAACTTTAAATAGATACAATATTACTTGAGGAGAGACTGGGAGTAAGCAAACAAATACATTAATCTGCTGTGTCAGCAGTCGCAGTCTTCATTTCCTAAACCTTTGCCAAGTCATCATTCTGCTAGGAGATTCTGATGTGCTGGGATTTAACAGCTACTGCTCGTATCAAAAATATACTTTAGTACTTTGGAAACACATCTTAATCTTTCACTGCACTGACTTCTAACTCAGAATGACGGGATATATCAATTCCTGCACATTTTGGGTTGCTTAGAGCTAGCACGGTGCTGCTGGCTTTAGGCAGGCAGAAGTCCCTGAAACAATTTTTGGTGATTCAGAAAGGAAAGTCCAAGAAAGCATTCACAGAAGTTCTGAACTAAAAATCATCTATAATAAGTTAAAAGTAGAGCAAGAAAGAAAAAACCCAGTATTCTGATACCTTTTCAAGTTTAAAAGACTTCTCCATTAGAAAAAAATCCAAGCAAAATATATGTCATAGTTTTGTTTCCCTCCCTTTTGTCCCTCTCCCATTTTTTCTCCCTTTTATTTCTCCCTTTAATTTTAAATACCTAGATGTTCCATGGTTAAAAACTTCACCAATATCAAAAGGTTTTCAAAGACTTTTTCAAAAAACAGGATAGTGCAAGAGGAAGTAGCCCTTATTTAGAGGATTGTTGCAAAATCGATTGATTTATTAGAATGAACAAGAAAACTATTTGGTATGGTGTCTATTTTGA